GTTCCTGATATAGATGCTGATACTAGATCTTACATACTAGTACAAACTCTTTATCTTGCTGTGAAACAGTTACAAAGGGTTCATGAACTAGCAGCATGTCTGACTTACAGATTTGCTTTAAGGAAAATTCAGTATCAATCTGTAGAACAATTAGGTTAATTTAAAAGTAGTTCTTCTAATTTCTTTGCTCAAATAGTTCTAAAGTCCAACTGATAAGGGGCAATACAGAAATATATCAAGTTATGCCATGCTGAAGTTTTTAAAAATAATTCATTAGCTTCATTACAAAAATTCTGTAGTTGTTACTCTATGTAACAACTACATATGTAGAGAATTTCTCTATGTAGAGAAATGTTTGTTAATTTTAATAACTATAACTTTTATTTTGGTTGATAAAATGTTGTGGCTTGTTTGGACACAGATGTGAGCTACATGTGTACCACAACCAATTTCAGAAACATTTATGCTTTATATTTGAATTTTGTGAAATATATTTTTATCACAGCATTACATGTATTATCGAAACAAAAACAAACAAATGCTTTCAAAGCTGAACTCTTAAACTGAATTTAAATGGTATTTATAATAATGCCAAATGTTTCACCTTTGCAAGAATGACTTCCAAAAGCTTTCCTTTGATTCCATTAATTGGGTGAAAAAACAAAACCATAATAAAAATTAACTATTTGAAGTATATGATGGCAATGATATTATTTAACTGTGAGGTTATTATTCTGCAATAGAATAAACACAGTAAGAGATATGGCTTCATGTTTTTATGTAGACAAGATAAACTGGTATTAAATAAAATTAATTTGAAGAATTGAGAGGGTATAAAAGTCGAGATTTACAGAATGATATGCAAATGTACTCTATGCAGTTGCACCCGTTAAAATGTTATTTTCAGGTTGATTTCTTAAAATAACTAACTTTGGAAATAAATGCTTCTTTACCAGATTATGTATTCTGGTTTCCACTTTGGTTTTCAGTGGTATTACTATAGCTCTTATGGTGGTTGGCAAATATTAACAAGTATGTAGAGCAAGTTTCACATGCATTTATTTTCTTAAGAAAATCAGTATTTAATTTTCCATTAAATGTACAACAGGCTTTTTATTTCTCTTTTTGGTGCCATAAGGGTTTACAAATCATAGCAAACAATGAAATAGTTGTAGATTTTAACCAAGTAATAAAGGAGGAAACTATTGCAGTGAGAATCGTGACTTTTCTCTATATGCTCTGCAAACACATATTTCATGCATATATAATCTATAATTTCTCACATTTCTCAATGACTCTGCCGATTGGTAGCCTACTGTCTTCATGTATTTCACAGATCAAACACTGATTATTATCCAAATGGCTGGCTGGAGAATCTGTACTAATATTTTTTCCACCAGAATCCAAGACCAAAAGAAATTAGCTGTTCATATTTGCATTATTTTATAAGCGAATGCCCCACAGCTATCCTTGAATGGGAGGTGTTATGTTAAGCCTGGAAAAGGTCACAAATATGAAGAGTTATCGCTGGTTATCTTTCAGATTTAACCATGTGTTAAAGTGAGGATTTGTTCACTGTTCATGTTTTTCATATACTACCAGGTGAGACCATGACAGAAGCTGGAAATAAAAAATGGAACTCTATCAAACTTTCCTTGGCTTATTTTAATATTAACTAAAATAACTTATAATAATACTTCATTATAATATAAAATTGTGGGGAAAATGCCGCATATATGAAATAATAAACTTTTCTTTAGTTACTTTTACACTTGTTCTAATTAATAGACTACATGAAGAGTTTTAACCTTTCTTGTAAAGCCATTTGGGGATCAAGATGAGTTTTAAGTAGGGTAATGGCATGTTCAGATTTACATTTTTCAAAGCATATCAACTGTTGTGTGGAAAATGGGCTAAATGGTGTAAAAGTACAGGCGATAATGCTTTTGATTAACAGAAGTAGTGGCAATGAGTAATGTATGCCAGGTCTCATGCTAATCATGTTATATATATAATCTCAAGGAATCTTCACAACAAACTTGTTATTATTGTTCCCACTGTATAGCTAAAGGCAATTGAGAATTAGAAAAGTTAGATGAACTGTTTATGTTCACACAGCTGGTGTTACAAGCAGAAGGAACTCAAATACAAGTCTGGTTTGCTTCAAACCTAATGCTCTAATATATACTTTTACTTTTTAATATTTTTCCTCCATTAGTCTCCTGCAGGGTAGCAACTATGTTTTAAAACAGCATTTACAGTTACACACACCAGCACTTAAAAACCTTCTAAGTTAACAATGAATATATTTATATTAAAGTAGTTTGGAAATGTCTATCTGGCAACATTTTTGTAGGTATGAAGTTCTGTATTTACTTGAAATTGTAATACTAGATTAAAAATACAATTTAGAATTTTTCTAATATTTATGAACCTTTACATAATTAATATGAAAGCAAAATTTTACTGCTTCTTACTTAGAAAGAAAAATGTATAAACTTACTATCTCCCTTCAACAGGTTCAATGTCCAGGGTGTTAACTCCATTGCCATGGATCCTTTCAACATCTCTGTCTTTGTTTAACTCCAGTCTCAAAACCCTTTAAAAAATATAAAAATTAAATAAGGGGAAAAAAGATAGAACTAAACAATAAATTAATTCAGACATAAAAAATGCCCTCATTTTATAAAGATTACATATAGCACAAAAATTGCAAATAATGCTGAAGTCTCTACCAGACACCCAAAGGTTTTTATGGATTTTAAAGAACTTAGAGAAACTTTTAAAATATCAACAGTACTAACAATTACATGTAAATAATTTCTCCTGAAGCATTATCTTAAGCTTCATTTAAAGAGTATATTTTATTAAGTTTTTATTAAGATATTTAGAGACAAATTTTCACGAAATTGATCATTTAAATTTAACGGAGGACACCTAGTGGACAAAAGCTGGAATTACAGTAATTTAAATAAATTCCCAGGAATATTTCTTATGCCTTAGGTGTAAATACAAAATGATTGCGTTCAATTAAACAAGTAGGCACATTTAAATAAAGCCAATTAAATATTTATAAAGGAGATGATTAGCAAGTATTCTCATAAATTAAGATGAATGAAATTTCGGGTATTCCATAGCTGTAAAACGTCATTATTCTCAGGATATTAAGGTTAAATAAGTAAATACATAAAAACTGCTCATTACAAAGCCTAGACATAGTAAGTGCCTAGTGAATGTTAATTGTTAAAACTTGTCTCAATCTGTTGGATGTTGAAAATAATTTGCATTAATTTAACCAGACTGATTTCTAAATTCATTAATATAATGCTAATTTATATAGAATTTTTAGCCTATCAAATTAATTAGGTTTTTTAAATAACAAGCATAGTGCTAGAAAAGGTACAAACTGTTATTTTTACACACTTACAGTAGCAGTAGTAATAATTAAAAGCATTTTGGAAATCATTTGAGCAACATCAAGTATTTGATTTAAAAATATCCAAAGCTCTTTGTCTTCTGGAAGACAATTTAGCCTTAAGTTCAAATATTCAATCTAACACTTATTATTTCTCTAACTTTGATCAGTAACAATAACAATTAAAATTAAGAGCCTACTATTTGCTGACATTGTACTCAGTGGTAATAACAAGTGTAATAAATGGTAATCCTAAGTGGCAGATTTCCTAGATGGTAGATTTGATTATTAAATGCTTTTACTGATTATAAAACTAAGACATAGTAATTTGCCCAAAGTCATTCATCTAATAATTGGCTGAACTGCATTTGAACTCTGACATTTTTTCCTCCAGACCACTACGCTGTCCTGACATTTCTGAGCTTCAATATTTCACCAGAAAGTATTTATTTCACATTTCCCATTGAAATTCCACTTCTCCTTAAAATAGATTTCTATTTGATGATTATTCAAATTATAACAGTAATATGTGCTTCTTGTAACAAATAAAAATAATATCAAACAAACATGTGCAAAGGCAATCATCCATTCCTTTAGTTCTCTTTTAATAATGAGAAACTTGGCTTTCATTATCATTAATGTATTTAGTTATTTGACCAACCCCCCTTGTATAACTAATCTCCCATCACCATCACCAGCCCCTTCCCCAACAAGGATGCCACGCACCAGGGTTGTGCTTTGATTTCTGCATCCCCCAGCACCCTTATCACCTGAGCTTGTCAGTCCCCACACTTAGACAACCTCCTCAACCTGCTCAGGCTCTGAAATAACACTCTGGGCCAATCTAATCCCAGTTTGGAAGCCTACCTCTGCTCAATCTAAAGACTTTAAGATTGAACCGTTTGGGAACTAGGAGGGGTTCAGATGAAGGGAAGGGGGGAGTGTAATAAGATAGTGAAACACGGGTGAGGAGTGTGTGGAAGGATGCAAGGTGCGAAGGAAAAAAGAGTAAATATAGCAGGCCTGAAAGTGCTATCCTTAGAAAGTCCTGCTTACGTGACTGGCCCCTGTCTGGCTTCTGAGATTTCAGTAAAGTTCTCATCATTCCTAGATAAGAATGGTTCACTGTGCCTAAACTATTTGGAGCAAACGTTATGTTTTATGTTGAATACCTGCTTTCCTTATAGGAGTCTGAAATTTTTATACATGCTAGGCACAGGCATGTACATACTAGGAATTTTGGTACATGATCCAAGGGAAGAGTAAAGCCGAGTTTAGTGGGAGGAAAGTGATAATGAGGCGGGAAAGTGTACCACATCCATTGGTACAAATTTTAACTGTCCTGTTAAAGAAAAGGGTAAAGTTTTCTATACCTTCGTGTGGACTCCACTCTTCGTAGGCGAAGAGGGTCGTCCAGTCCAGCTTGTCTCGCCAACAAAAACCCTAGCATTCTGTTCGTCTACACCGGATTGAGCATTGGACGCTGCCATGACAGAGCTCGCAGGCGAGACTGTAACAACGGAGTCTCCCCTTGGTAGACCCATAATGACATCTGACCAATGGAAAGCGCCGTTACTGGAAGGGCGTGATCAAGAAAGCAAGTAGGGTTCTCCTTGCCTGGTGGGCGGGCTCGGCTTTCCGGCTGCTGTCCCGGCGGATCCCGCGGCTACTCACGCTGGGATCTGGGCGATCGGCATGGGTTGGTCTCAGGATTTGTTCCGCGCCTTGTGGAGAGCGCTGTCAAAGGAAGTGAAGGAGCTGGCGGGCACAGACCAGTTCGGGAACAAATACTACTATATCCCGGAGTACAAAAACTGGAGAGGTGAGATGACAGCGAGGGCAGAGGTGGCGTAGTCAGTAAATGGGGGGAAAGGAAGAGCGTCTCGTCAACTAATGCAACCTGCGACACATGTCATTCCACCTGAGGAGACAAACCGAGTTCGTTCACCCCGCTACCCCGTTATCTTGGTGGCTTTCAATGAGCGGCTTTGTTCCACGCTCCGGCCCGGTGTGTGCCCACTGTGCCATCGCCGCAGCGTCTCGGTCCGCTGCGCCCGGCCGCTGCTGGCGCGAGCTCGGCAGACATCCGTCCCCTCTTGGCGCTGGGAGCCACGCGGGGACGCCCCAGTGTAGGTCCTTGCCATTAGGCGACGCAGACGAGGACCAGTCCGTGGAGGTCTTTTAACAAAGGTCTTTTACCAAAGGTCTTCCGAGAGGCGGGAAAGTGGCTTCCCTTCCTGCTGTGCGTCAATTGCGACCTGGCCGTAGTGGTATAATTTGAGGAGTATCCTAAGCGATTCTGCTTTCGTCTTTCTTGGCGTTGACCTTTGTCAGTAGCTCCGTACTGGCCCTCTGCCTCCCCTTCCTTACAACCAAAACCTGTCAGAAGTAGGTCCGTGCACACTCATCATGTGGTAAACAGATCCTCACAAGGATCCACGTTACCTTTACCACGAGTTTGCACCCCGTTCGTTGAGTTCACTTTATAATAGGTGGATTTGAACCGTGGTATTTCTGTGCAGAATTCGTGCGAAGCACGTAGTCTGAGGAATCAGGGGGCTTTCCTTCCGTTGAAATCACCACATAGCATAGTCAAAACCTATTCTGTGCGGGCCCCCCACCGCGATGCAAAAGATACCAGGCTTTGGGGTCAGAAAGGCTTGGTTTAGAATCTCAGCTTTCACATCTAATACTTGAGGAGATCATGGACAGATTATTTGCTCTCCCCGTCTCAGCCTCCTTCCTTGAAAGTTAGAGATGATAATAATCATATTGAGAAGCACCGAAGCTTTTCCACTTGCCACCTGTGTTTCATTCATTTCCCATAACTCTTGACAAAGGGAATTCTTTCATCCTCGTAGAGCACATGTAAGTGTATTTTGTGATTTATCACTCAAAATTGTTGTGCTTAGCCTTCTTCTGTAACTTAAAAATTTTAGACGTTTCCCTAATGAGCTGGGAAAAGTTGCCCTCTATCAGGACAAGAAATAACGTCTTTTTCTTTTTTTTAAGTGTGCCAAGAACCTAGCATGGTGGTGAAGTATTTCACTTGTCTTTTCTTCTTTTAATCATCATCCGAAGATATGTTTACTGATTTTAGAGAGGAAGGTGGGAGAAACATTGATCTGTTGCCTCCCATACGCTCCCTGACTGGGGACCTAGCAGCAACTTAGGTATGTGCTGTGAGCAGGAGTCGAGCCTCTGTTGCTCCAATCCACGGAGCCACCCGGCCAGGGCGTGATGAAATATTCTTTGACAGATTTCAAGCAGAGAGATACTTCTCTTCTATAGTTTATCGGTAGGATTTAAAAGTATGCAAACATCAGATTGACTTTTAATTGAAGTAAGTATAATTTACTTTTAGTAATATTCATACTTCTTGGTGTATGGTTTTATGAGTTTTGAAAAATGCTTAGAGCCATGTAACTATCACCACAATCAAGATATAGAACAGTTTCTTCGCTGCCTCTCCCCATCTCCCAATTTCCTCCTTCTCTTAAGTGTTTCACTCCCCCACCCCATACCCAGCCCTTGAAAACAGTTGATCTGTTTTATGTCCCTGTAGTTTTGTCTTCTCTAGAATATCATATAGATGGAATTATACAGGTGTAGTCTTTCGAGCCTAGCTTATTTCAAATAGCACAATGCAGTTGAGTTTCATCCATATGTCAGTAGTTTTTTCTTTTCATTGCTAAGTAATATTCTGCTGTTACTTTTCACAATACTGAGCTAGAGTTGATGTTCCCAAAATGGAATAGGTTAAGGGGAAGACAGGGATAGTAATGGATTAAAGGTAGCAGTGATGTCTGCTTTTAGAATGCAGGATGAATGTTGGAGCAAACATGGTGCATTTACTTTTGGAATACCTTTTTAAAAAACTGTATAATCTCATTAGGGCTTTTTGCATAGTGAATTGTTGACACTAGGCTACTAGCAGTGATTTTCAGATTGTTCTATTTAAAAAATAATTATGAAATAAATCTTTTCAACTTTAACACTTTCTTAGAAAATCTTACATTCTAAAAGATTTTTTTCATTTTGCCCTCTCAGTTTTTAAATGAAGCATGGTTATACATTTATAAAAATTATGAGCTAACAAAAATTTGTGTAAGGTTTTCAAGAAAGCACCAATTATATTTTCTATATTTATATGACTATATTTAGACTAACATATATTTGGATTATCACTGTGCCAAACACATTACTTCTAATAACATTTTCTGAATTTTATATTTCATGCTTTTTGGTTAAAAAAAAAGAGATGGCCTTTTGATATGGAGTTCTCAAACACTTTTGGGAAGCCAAATCAGAAGGAGAAGCCAGACTTTAAAGACATAATTTAAAATGGAGGTTTCTCAATCTAAAATTGAATTTTGTTTAGAACTTCAGGATATTTATACCATTTCTATGTGCCTCCTTTAAAAAAAACAAATATTAGTTGGATTTTACTTTTTGTTCTAACTTGAGAATTCTGTTTTATTTATCCATTTATTTATTTTTTAATTATTGAATTATGAAATACTTCAAATATAAAAAGTAGAGTTATAAAACAAAGCTCCATGTATCCCAATACTCACTCTCAATAGTTATGAACTCATTTCTAAATTTTATTTACCCCCACTCATTTCTTCTCTTATTTTGTAGCAAATACTAAATATCATGTCATTTTGCCTATAAAAATTTCAGTATATATCACTTAAACACTGTTTTTAAATATACAATAATAACATAATCACATATAAAAATCAATAATTCCTTAATATCATCAAATATCCTGTCCTCATTTCCCTAGTTGTCCCATAATGCTCTTATTTATTGATTGACTTATTTACTTATATTTGCAATTTGTATTAATTGAGCTCCAAAGTCTTTACATTTTGATGGCTAATATGTTTTGAAGCCTCTTGTAATTTATAGGTTCTCTCGTTATGTTGATTCTCTCCTCCTTTAACTCTCTCACACAGAAACCTCCACTTTTTTATGAGAGGTGTTAGGAGAAAAGCTACTTTAAAAAAATAACATTAATCCATTCATATTCATTGTGATAAGTGATTATATATATAGTCTTACTTCAGTCTCTTGTGTTTTTTGTTTTCTGTTATTTATGTTTTCTTGTTCTTGACTACCCTTTTTAGACATCTTTTGCAGGACAGCCTTCATTTTACTTGAAATTAACTATTTTTACCAAGTGAGACCTGAGTGAATGCTACAGCTCTTGTCTCCCTGCAGGGCTCTGATAGAATTTCTCTGGGAGAACTGTACTCATTACTTAGGCTGCCTTCGCTGCTCAGCCCCTGCAAGTGGGAGTCTGAAGGTTGTCAATATCATGTCGGAGTTTGGTTACTTATGAGAAAGGGGGAAGGAGCTCATTGGGATGCTTAGCAGGTGCTATTGTTAAGGGTTTTTTGTTTTTGGTTTTAACCTTTGGTTTTTGACATCTTACTTTTCACATTAGTGATAATTAGACCTCCCCGTGTTGGCATTAACAAATACCTTTGACTTGACCTTACCACTTACTTGCCCCTTGCTCTCAGTCCTGCTGCTCTAAGCTTAGGATTTTCTCAGCACTTTTTGGGGGGAAACTCATATAGACTCTTTACAGTATGGTCTGTATGTCTGTGCTGATTCACAGGCCAGTCAGCACTACTGAGTTTGCCTTCCGTCTCATCCTGTATCACTTATTAGTTTTCTCATGTGACATTCTTATTCAGCACTGCTTTATGCAAAACATATCTGTTTACGTATTTCATATCTATTGGCCTCAGTTTCTGACCTATTAGTACTTTTATCTGTTTTCCAGGATAGCTACATACCCCCTTATATAGTATTCTTTAAAAAATTCAATGAGATTTGAGAAGATAAATAAGGTAAACATGAATCAATAGCTATTTTAAACTGAAGTTTACATAATTTGTAACAATTTTGTAACAAAAGTTGTAAAAATTTTTCTCCTCCATTTTGTTCTCAACATAGTCTCCAATCTTTTTAGTAACGGTTTACATTAATGACAGCATTCATTGAGTGTTACATCTGATTATTTCATGTCTTTGCAGCTATATAACTAGGAATTATTATCCTCATCTTAAACATGTGTGAATGTTTCATTTATGAATACTTAAATGAACATCATGTATATGTGCCTGAGTACAGAGTAGGAACTCAAAAAACAACTGTTAAATGAATTGAGATATATATGAACTCAGACTTATGAAAACAAAAGGCAAAACATTTTAAAACCATAGAAAATGATAAGTAGTTTTAAAATCTTAAAACAAGTGATTAAGGTATATTTTTATTTATGACAGATAGGCCAAATTATTCTTCAGAGACTAAAATACTCTCATCGGAAATGAGTGTTTTTTCCATAACTTTCATAGTGTGGTTTCTGTTTGAAATTAGCTTAGTCAGTACCCTATAAGTTTAGCTTCATTGCTAGCATCAAACTTCTGTTGAGATACCCAATCTAATTTTTTTCCTTTCAGGATGAATGTATCATGATCTGGTAATTCAAAACCTGCACCATCCACTGTTATATGTACTTACAGAGTTCATTGTTTTTGATGATGTCACCTCAATCTATTTGTACTTAGTATTTAAATATACTAAAATCTTTAATGAATTAATGTTCAATTAAGACATAGTTATTAAGAATCAGACAAATTAAATGGTCAACATTATTAAGAAGGTGTATCTTGTTTCAGTAGGTAATTGGAAGTTTATGATATAGCTCAACAGAGATCCTGTAACATTTGTGAAATAATGAAGTCATTTCAGATTTTTCCAGCAGGTGGCAGCATTGTTTAAAAGTTGTAGGTTGTCAGA